GATATATGCCAACTTAAGAATGTATATCTTTAGATCAAAGGAGGAACTTCCTCCACTTTGTCTGGTAACGCCCACACCATATTCAGTTCATGTTCAGTTATACTAAAGGTGACTTTTTAATGATTAAGCTAAATATATTCGTTGGGAGAATAGCAGAATGCAACAGTCCCCGGTCCTTATTTCACAGAAGATGCCTGACCCTATAAATATTATTTTGCTTACCCTACACATTCATGACTATAATTAAAAGTTTGACTTAAAAATTAGGCACAGTAAGATATTAAGTTGTACAACTAATAATAAAAATAGAATAAGTATAATAATATACTCTAGATCTTAACATTGACATGCACTTTTGTTTTTCTTATTGAGTTGAAAGCTTTTACCTTTGCACTCATAACACTTTGAAAAGGTGCTAGGAGCTCATGCCTGTAATCCTGGCTATAGGAGGCTGAGACTTGAAGTACTGTGGTTCATAGTCAGCCTTGGCAAACAAAGGGAAGATTCTAAGTGGGACAGAGCAGAATGGAGCAAGATTTCTTCATGCTAACTCATAATGGGGCACAACTGATAAATATATGTTATTTACTTATGGAATTTTCCATTTAATATTTTCAGACAGCAGGTGAGGGCAAGTAACTAAAATCTCCGAAGGGGAAATAGAGGCCAAGGGGAGAGTCGCAAGACAAGGAGGAGCATGTCTGGATGGTCCCCTGTAAGTGCAGGTGGCGTGTACAGGAAAGTGATGAGACGGAGATTTCAGACTTCATATCCGGCCAAGTCACTGAGAACTGAAATTAGCCCCTGAAGTCTCTGTGAAAATAGCGATGCATGGGCTGAGTGGGAGTTGGTTAGTGGGTCCCCAGCTTCAAGCCGTACAAGCTGAATTAGCGTCCAGTGCTATTTTTCTTTCTCCAGAGCCTTGGGTTCTAGTTCAAGTTTTTTTTTTTTTTCTCTATCTTTTCACATGTTAAAGCTTCCTTTCGTCCAAAAGAATTAAAGCAGCTCTTCATCCTATTAGGAATTTATTTTTATTTATTTATTTTTTACCAGTCCTGGGGCTTGAACTCAAGGCCTGGGCACTGTCCCTCAGCTCTTCAGCTCAAGGCTAGTGCTCTACCACTTGAGCCACAGTGCCACTTCCAGCTTTTTCTGCTGATGTGGGGCTGAGGAATCGAACCCAGGGCTCATGCATGCTAGGCAAGCACTCTACCACTGAGCCACCTTCCCAGCCCTCAGGAATATTTTTTAAAGACAAAAGAATATAAGGTACTTTGAAGTCCTTAAAATCAGGAAGGCTTTTTCCCCCCAGTATGGAGTTAGAATTCAGGGCACTGTACTAGGAAGGCACTCTCCTACTTGAGCCACACCTCTAGCCCCTTTAGCTTTATTTTTCTGTTAAGGATTGCCTAACTGCAGTCCTTCCATTTATGCTTCCTGTGAAGCTGAGATGACAGGCATGCACACCATACCTAGTGTTTTATTGAATTATGAGGGGTTTTTTTTTGCCTAGGCTGGCCTTGAACCACAATCCTCCAGATATTGACCTTTCTGGTAGCTGTACTTATAACTAGGAACTGCCATACCTGGCTGGCTGTTGGCATTAGGAAAACGTTAAAAACATGTTGGGGAAGCAGTTATGTTAATAATAATACAAAGAGGGTCAAATTTTATGATCCTTTGACCCACAACCTTCAATCTTCTCACTCAGCAAATATTTGAAGGGAATGTATTTGTTACTTCCTATACTTATTTTAAACCATAAGGTACTTTAAGTTGGATGTGGGGGGTGAAGGGGGGAGGGATTGTGAATTTGTGTTAACCCAGCTCTGACTGGTAAACAAATCTTAAACTAGCAGTTCCTGTTAAGTCTTCTGAAAGCCTGGACTTCAAACTCAGGTCTTGTGTCCACCCTCTGATAAGATCTTTTACAGAGATCTGACCTCTGTCCAGGTTAGTTTTCAAATCAAAAAAGCTTTGAACTTCTGGCAGGCTGGTAGCTGGACCTTGGGTGTTTACTGAAGAGCGTCCTCAAGAAGGGAGATCGACTCCATTACCAACTCCTCCACAGCCTCCTCCCTCTGGCCAGTTTTCTCCTTGTGAGAGCTGGCATGGAGCCAGGCAGGGCCTCACAGCTTCAAGGCATGCACTGAGAACTGTCTGTGTCTGGTACATAGCAGATACCTAGCTCAATGAAGAGTTCAAGCTGATAAAACAACAACAACAACAAAAAATCAGGTCCACAGTAAGCCAGCAGTGAGTTGTGACTCCATACTGGGTAGGCTGGCAGGCCAAAGTTGGCTCTGCTGCTTACCTTTGGCATCTTTGCCCAGTCAGGCCATATTCACGAAACTGCACACAACTGGGTACCTCATATTTGCCTAAGTCATTGGCAGTCATTGGCAGGCTTCCTCCTCATTCTGAGCTAGGAAGTCACCCATGTGGATTTTTCAGGGCAGGTCCAGGGCCTACAGCATACCTGAGCCTTACCTTCCTTTCTTCTTACACTACTACAATTATGAAACTGGAACAAATTCCACTCACATCTGTCCTGTTCTCCTCTCAACTTGCTCTGAACTCAGCCAGGCCCCATCAGCTTTCTTTTGGGGTTTCAAACATGCTGAACTTGACCCCATCTCCAGTTCTTTGCATTCCATTTTCCTAGGCCTGAAACCGCCTACAAGGATCATGGGTACCTTCTTTCATTATGCAAGTCTTACCCTTAAATTATCATCTCCTCAAAGACCTGCCTACTTCATCAAACACAAACATACAGCCCTATGTCTAATAAATCTCCAGCACACCAATCTATTTCTTTTATAGCGTTTACTATAATATGCCATTGTCTTATTTACTTTTTTTATTTACTTGGTTTTTTTGTTTTTGTTTTTTTGGTTGTGGGGCTTGAACTCTGGGCCTGGGCACTGTCCCTCAGCTCTTCGGCTCAAGGCTAGCACTCTACCACTTGAGCCACAGGACCATTTGCGGCTTTTTCTGCTTATGTGATGCTGAGGAATGGAACCCAGGGCCTCATGCATGCAAGGCAAGCACTCTACCACTGAGCCACCTTTCCAGCCCTTGTCTTTTCTCTTTTATAGGGTGGGGAAAATGTGTGATCTAACAGAGTACAGTGTCTTTCCAGAACTTAGGTTCCAGTGACAGATCATAATACCAAAAACAAGTAAATAAGGGCTGGGAAAGTGGCTCAGTGGTAAAATGCTTGCCTCGCATGCATGAGGCCCTGGGTTCGATTCCTCAGCACCACATAAGCGGAAAAGGCTGGAAGTAGCGCTGTGGCTCAAGTGGTAGAGTGCTAGTCTTGAGCTGAAGGGACAGTGCCCAGGCCCAGAGTTCAGGCCCCACGACCAACGAGAGAGAGAGAGAGAGAGAGAGAGAGAGAGAGAATGTCTTCTGTATCCAACCAGTCTTTAAATACTCAGAGAAACTGGTATTTATCACCTCATGAAATCCTAGGGCTATAAAAATCAAGCCAGGCACCAGTGGCTCATTCCTATAATCATAGCTATGCAAGAGGCTGAGATCTGAGGATTGTGGTTCAAAGCTAGCCCAGGCAAGGAAATCTATGAGACTCTTATCTCCAATTAGCTAGCCAAAGTAGAGCTGTGGCTCAGTGGTAGAGCACTAACTTTGAGCAAGAAGGCTCAGAGAGAATGCCCAAGTCTTGAGTTCAAGCCCCAAGATTGGCAAAAAAAAGAAGAAGCAGTAGCTAAGAGAAGTGGACACCTCTACACAAATCTTGCCCTAATGAATAACACAACTACACCACTACCAATAAAACAAAGAAAAGCCCAGGACAGACAGACAGACACACACACATAAATCAATAAATTATAACTAATGTGAATGATCAATATCTAGATATTGAGCCAAAAAATGAGCTAAGATCAAAGTGGCTTCCTTTGCTAGCAGGCTGGGCATTTTTATCTAGCAGCATCATAGGTTGCTAAACTTCTCCAACCGGAAAAGGAGTGCAATTCCTAAACTAGCTCTAACAAGCAGAAACCAATCACAGCCTGGCCATTACAAACGCAGAGAAGCAGCATTTACAACTGGAAGGTTTATTTCCTGATACCAGGCCTGCAGGCAGCCACCAGTTCTTCTCCTATACTGTTATGAAGCTGTCCTAATAGAGCATCTATCATCTACACATTTAATATATGTACAACTAAATATATGAGATATGGGTTCTGACACTTCTATAGCATTAAGTAAATGTAGTTCAAAAATCTCATGCCATAAATTCTTTTTAGTGTTTCCTTATAAGGTACTTTATGCTATAGAAGTTAGATTTCAAAATATTCTCCAATATTGGATATTGATGACATTGATCAAGAAGCATTATATTCACAACCTGACTTATGGAATAGTAACCTCTTTGTACAAATGCATAATAATAGGAAGATTTTTTAAAAAAAGAAATGATTCATTTTTATAAATGGTATAATTTTTCAGGTTGTGAATCTATGTAGTTGTGTTTTGTTTTGCTTGAATTCAGGGCACATAACTGGTACCCTGCCACTTAAGCCAGGCCTCTACTTCCAGCTTTTTCACTGGCTAATCGGAGATAAATGTCTCACAGATTTGTCTGCCCAGGTTGGCTTTGAATGCCCCAGGTTGGCTTTGAATCACAATTCTCAGCCCTCAGCTTCCTGAGTAGCTAAGATTAAAACTTGAGCTACCGGTGCCAGACTTGTATGTACTTTTAAAATAAGAATCCTTAGCTTTAAAAGGCACAAACCAAAACATTTACACTGAAAACAAGTTCATCTGTAAATGAGATTTACTTCAAAACAATACCCCAGGAGGGAACGTAGGAAATGTAGACAAAACAGCCCAGTGCATGCATTTGATAACCGCTAAAGATAGGCTCCCCACGACTGAAAAGTATTTTGCTCAACTTTGTACACATCTGACCTTCTTCCTACCAAAACCGCTTTTTCAAGACCTATCGACTGCACGTGTGAAAGGACAGAAGTTACCTGAAGGTGAAAGTCTCGCCTTTCCAGTCGTGGAGCGGGTTTTCTGGGATGACATCCTGGGTGAGAGGCGAGCTCTGGCGTGGGGATTTGGTGTGGGGCAGAGTGCCCATGTGGCTCGACCTGATGGGGGGCGGGCCCTTCTTCTTCCGTGGAAGGGTGCCGTGTAGAGACACGTCTTGATAGGCATCTGTGCGATGCTCAGCGGGAGGGGCCTTGCTGCTCAGAAGGTCCATGGATGAGGCCAAGGGAAACTGGTGATTCATTGGCATGTTTCGGGGAAGGCTTGCGAATTTTCCTGCAGCCATGATTCTCAATGCTAAGGGAAGAAAAGAATGAAGGACAAAGGTAAGATACTCCTATGAGAACAGACTTCCTCCTTGCCAAGAGGAAAAAGAAATAATGCCACATAATTAAAGTAAATTTTCGGGCTGGGAAGGTGGCTCAGTGGTAGAGTGCTTGGCTTGCATGCATGAGGCCCTGGGTTCAATTCCTCAGCACCACATAAGCAGAAAAAAATTCACCCAACTGACAGTGAAAGCGTAAGGGCAACAAACACATCTCGGAGTTGTGGAGAGGCACATGAGCCAATCCATGGACAGAAAAGCTTGACTAAGCCAGGTGTGGGTAGTTCACCTGTAATCCTAACTACTCAGGAGGCTGAGATCTGAGGATCATGGTTGAAATCTAGCCCAGGCAAGAATGTCCATGAGACTCTTATCTCCAATTAACCAGCAAAAAGCCCGAAGTGGAGCTCTGGCTCAAATAGTAGAGGACTATCTTTGAAGAGGTTAAGGGACAGTACCCAGGCACTGAGTTCAAGCCCCAGGACTGGCACTAAATAAATAGATATACGCATAAGAAAATCATGACTAACAAAAAAAGGAAGGAAATAATTCACTGCTTCATTCATTAACATCCCAGAAAAATGTTATAAGTGGTTAATTAGTGCACATGTCTTCACCACTTTGCAAAGGATAAGAACAGGCAGAGATGGCTGGAATTCTTCAGCTGCTCCAACATCTCCAGTGCCAGTTGGAAATACTTAGGAGTGATGGAACTGAGCTTTTCTGGCAAAGACCTGATGCTTATGTATAAATCAATGTACTCTAATGAACGAAGACAGGCCAGGGTCAGGGGTCAAAGGTGAGCTATTCTTCCAATATCAGTGGGCTCAGCTGCAGAAGAAAGCCACTAGGGTGACAACCCCTTGTCCAATGTCCAATAGCCCCGGAGGGGTCAGGAATCCACCTACCACCAGCAAGGTTAAGCAATCAATGCCCATGGCTGTCTGTAACATCAGGGAAAAGAAAAAAGGAATGGGAAGCAGCAAAGCAAAGGGGATGGAGCTGAAGTAGCTGGGAAAAGAGGAACAAACACTCCCAAGTATGGGGAATAGAAAAGGTCTCCTTGAGCAAAACCAAGGCCTCCCATTGCCCCCAAACAAACTTCAGTTCTAAACTACATCAAATTACACCAATCTCTTTCAAAACCCACACATAGAGGAAAGGAAACGGAAGAATAAGGACAATCTTCTGCAGACAGTAGGCCGGGAAGCCATCCCATGCCCACCTAGGATATCAGATTGTGGTCAGCGCATCACCCACTGCCCAACAGCTGAGCCCGGTGCACGGCCTTCCCTTAGGGCTCAGGAGAGCCCTTGTTCCCGCCCAGCCTCACGCCCCGCAGCCTCCATTGCTCTCACCAGCCTTCTGCAGCATTGGTCAGGGAAGCGCTCTGAGCAAAAATCACTTCATAGGCTGGGTGTCAGTGGCTCATGCCTGTAATCCTAGCTACTCCAGAGGCTGAGATTTGAGGATCATGGTTCAAAACCAGCCTGGCCAGGAAACTCCGTGAGAGTCATTTCCAATAAACAACCAGAAAACCAGAAATGGTGCTGTGGCTCAAGTGGTAGAGCGCACACCTTGAACTGAAGAGCTGAGGGACACTGCCCAGGCCCTGACCCCCCCCCAAAAAAAAAATTATTTCATAGAAAGGAACTGGAAGCCAGGTGCTGGTGGCTTATGCCTATATAATCCTAGCTACTCAGGAGACTTAGATCTGAGGGTCTCAGTTCAAAGCTAACCTGACAGGAAAATCTGAGAGACTCTTATTGCCAATTAACCACCAAAACAAAGCTGGAGGTGGAGGTGTAGCTCAAGGAGCAGAGAGTACCAACCTTGAATAAAAAAACTCAAGGACAGAGCACAGGCTCTGGGTTAAAGATCCAGTATTAGTACAAGGAAGGAAGGAAGGAAGGAACGATGGAAGGAAGAGAGAGAGAGGGAGAGAGGGAGGGAGGGAGACAGAGAAAGAGACAGAGACAGAAAGGGAGGGAGACAGAGAAAGAGAGACAGAAAGGGAGGGAGGGAGAGAGAGAGAGGGAGGGAAGGAGGAAGAAAGGAAGGAAGAAAGGGAGGGAGGAAGGAAGGAAGGAAGGAAGGAAGGAAAGGACAAGGAGGTGGAGGGAGGGAGGGAAGGAGAGAAGTAACTGGAGACTTGAGGCTTTAAGACCACCCCTAACTGAAGCCGTACTGGGATAAAGACAGTATAATGTTCACAGGACACAAACTTCCTCGTGCACAAAAGGCCACATCTATTTTACTACTTGTCCATGCAGTAGAGAGCTCATAAGTGCTGGGAAGTTTGATAGGATGACCCCTTACTCAAGGAATCTCCTCCTGACAGGTCCTCTGTTCTTTTCCAGGCCTGGTAATTTTGAAGCTTATCTGTTTCGTGTCCAACTGGGACCTCACAGAAGGCCTGGCTCACAGGGGTGGGGAACAATAGGGCTGGAAGTCTGGATGAGGACCCCTCCTAGTTCTGCCCAGTACCTGGCACACAATCAGCACTCACTCAATGGTAAACATTGTTATTAAAAAGAGAAACCAAACTCCCAAGCCCCATTCCACCTGACCCCCAGTGACGTAAACCAACTAAGATCACACACACACACACACAACTGTAAAGTGTCTCTGTTTAAGCTGTCAGCATGTATCAGCTTCACAGACAGGCTTGGGACCTCAGGGGATGCCACTGGCTCCCTGCTCCACCCCTCACACTCCATTTCCCAGAGAGTATGAAGAGCAAAGCCTTCCCTAGTCCCAGTGTCTTTGGTAACCTATTTCCTCTGTACATCCAAGATCCATTTAAACTTGAAGACTGAGCTATGATGTTCTCTACCATGTTCCCTTGCCACAGTTAATACACACAATTTACTCTCTGGTCACAAAAGCCTTTCCTATCTTTAATTCCACAAACATTTAAGGACCTGCTCCACATACAACACATACAGAAACAAAGATAACGAAATCCAGACCCCTAGCTATGAACTCTTAACAAGAGACAGAGACTAGAAATCAGTCATAGCAACCCTCCTGGTGGGAGAAAAAAAACCCACAAAACTATCATTAATTTTGACAAAAGACTCCAAGAGGATCTCACAAAGGGGATCCATAAAGAAGAAAAAGTAGGGGGGGGGGAGCTTGAGCTCAGGGAGTTGTATTCTCCCTCAGCTTTTTGCCAGACAGGGACGGTGCTCTATCTCTAGAGCCACACCTTCAGTTCTGGCTTTCTTGATAGTTAATTGGAGATAAAGTGTCTAGTAGAGCTGAGTTGAGGTGGCTCACTCCAGTAATCCTAGCCACTCAAGAGGCTGAGATCTGAAGATCCCAGTTCAAAGTCAGCTGGTTTTGAACTGCAATCATCACATCTCAGCCTCCTGAGTCTCTGGGATTATACGTGTGAATTACTAGCGCCCAGGAAATTTTGAGAAGCTGAAGCTTGCAGGGAAAAGCCTTTCAAGAAGATGCCATGGCCCCAGAAGTGCGAAGACATGAAATGCCTCCACAGACCAAGCACACGACAAACCTCGTGAAATTGAAAAGCATTTCCTGGAAGACCCAGAGCTGGGGAGAAGCTCATGAGGTCTTTCTTGATGGTTCTGCCGAAGTGTTTGAACTTGACTGTAAATGCTAAGGAAGACCTGGAAGAGAGGGACAGAATAAAGCAGGCACCAGGTGATTCTGAAGAGAAAGGGAAGTAAGGAGGACAGGCAAGAGGATGCAATGGAGGGAAAAGAAAAAAGGGAATGTCACAATATCCCGGGCCACCCACTATCTCCTGGCTACTGCCCAGGGGAGGGTCTTGCCTGGTTTAGACAAGCCAATCACAATCTGACAAACTGCCTAAAGGGAGGAGAAAAAGATGGGGAGCAGGTAAGGGGTAACATAAAGCAACAGCCCAGAGACCTGAAAACAGACAACCAACTGGTTTCTGGGTTCCTCTGCTGGCTCTCCTGAGTGGCCTCTACTTTCTCCTTGCTAAATAAAATCTTCACTACCCTACTACAACTATGCTCATGGTTCCCGGTTTTATTTCTATACTGCCGGAGAACAAGAAGCCACCACGCTCATACATTACGGTCACCTATCAAGAAGTGATGAAGAATGCTGAGCATGGGCAGTGCCCCGGGCGGGGAAAGGAAGGGCAGAGGGAAGACACACTGGCAGCTCAAGCCCTCTGCCTCGGAGGAGGGCCACAGACCTAAGAGGATGACATCATACTGTTACCACGCCAGCTAGTGGGGGGTGGGCAGAAGGAGGGGAGCACCCAGCATATTGCTGGGGCTCCTGGGTGTGAGGTACCAAGGGACAGGCTGGACTAGGAGGAGATTAGATACTGGTAGGTATGGGTAGGAGCAAAGGCAAATGTAGACTTTTAAGTCATTAACACAAAGGGAAACTGAAACCAGAGGAGATCCAAGAGCTTTTATTATCCAAAGTGATAAGAGATCTGAGAGTATCTCTTAAATTATCAGTAATCATATAAAACCCATAAATAATATTCTCTCTCTCTTTACTTTTTATTTTTTGCCAGTTGTGGGGCTTAAACTCTGGGCCTGGGGGCTGTCCCTCAGCTTTTTAGCTCAAGGCTAACACTCTACCACTTGAGCCAGAACACCACTTCCAGCTTTTTCTGTTTATGTGGTGCTGAGGAATCAAACCCAGGGCCTCATGCATGCGAGGCAAGCACTCTACCACTGAGCCACCTTCCCAGCCCCCTCTTTTTACTCTTATGATCACCATGGATGCTATAAGCCTATTAGAACCAAAGGGGGAGGGGGAGAAGAGTTCTGAAAATACAAAATGGCTGTTCTCAACTTGGCTACATGGAAGCATGCCATGAGAATCTTTTCAAATCTTGCCACCCAAACCACCACCCAGAGCAACGAACTCAGAATGTCTGCAGATAGGGCACCAGCTGGCACCAGGGTATTGTCCAAAGTGGAGCGGGGGCTGAGAAGCACTGAACCA